CACCCGAGGGTCAAGAGTACCGGCCCAACACATAGAGAGAGAGGAGCCTGGAGGTGAATGATCGACAGAAGTCCTCCCAAAGAGACCACGACATTCGATCCGAAGTGGATCATCCTCCAGGATCAGTTTCAGAGGGAGATAGAGAACCTAAGGAAACAGTGCAGACCTTTAGATTGCGATTGAGCAGGAGGAGCCCCCTTTCTCCCAAGCGATCTTAGATGCACCCATCCCCTCGAAGTTTAAAGCTCCTACTATGAGCTCGTACGATGGGTCTGGCGATCCGGTGTCGTACGTCGAGGTGTTCGAAGCGAAAATGGATTTTTTGGCCGCAAGCGATGGTATGAAGTGCCGAGCATTTCAAATAGCGTTGGAGGGCTCGGCAAGATTGTGGTATCGGCAGCTGAAGCCGAAGTCAATTGACAGTTATCAACAGTTACAGAGGTTGTGCATCAACCAGTTCTCGGCCAGGGATTTGCTGAAGCTGCCGCCATCCCACCTCGGAACGGTGAAGCAACGCGAGTATGAGTCCCTTACAAAATACATCTCCCGGTTCATGGACGAGCATGTCAAGGTGGTGAGTTGCACCGATTACATCGCCATGATGTATTTTACAATAGGGTTCAATGACCAGAACTTGACGATCGATTTCGGGAGTCGCCCTCTGGCCTCCTTGAACGAGATGCTCGCCAGAGCTCGTCAGTATATTGATAGGTTAGGACTGTGGAAGGCCAACAGAGCCAGGCGCAGTAGCCACAACAAAGAATAAAACTCTAAGTCTTCATCTTCTAAAAAGCGGCGCGATGATGATCGAAGCTCGTCTCGACGAGCCGATGATGACAAGAATGGAGACTGACGAGACGACAAAGGCTCCTCGGATCGACGTGGACCTAGGTTCGACAAGTTTACTCCGCTGAATGCCTCAATTGTTGAGATCTAATCTACGATCGAAGATACCGACCTAGAGGCGCTATTCGCAGCACCCGTTAAGTTTCGTCGACCTTCAGGAAAACGAGACAAGTGATTTTATTGTCGATTCCACAAGGATCACGGCCACAAGACCTCCCGTTGCTTTCATCTAAAGGAGCAAGTTGAGGACATGATTCTACAGGGTTATTTGAAGAAGTATGTCAGCAACAAAGAGCGAGTAGAGCCAGAAAAGTCGATCAACGAAGAGAAGCGAGAAAGGTTGCGGTCGCCGAGACGCAAGGATGATTGTCCTCTAGTCATAAACACCATTCACGAGGCTCGAGTGAGGGCCAATCGGGGCATAAGAGGAAGGCTTTAGTTTGAGAAGCCGCATATGAGGTTTGCACCTCGTATTCCAAGGAGCCTGTGGTGCCGATCATATTTGACGAACAGGACGCCGAAGGGATACATATGCCCCCACAATGATGCTCTGGTGATTGCCCTTCTGATAAACCATGTGAAGGTCAGAAGAGTTCTCGTTGATGGTGGGGCTTCGACCAATGTGTTGTCATTCTCGACGTACTCAACTTTAGGGTGAGAGAGAAGGCATCTAAAGCCCAGCCCTACAACTCTGATCGGCTCTGC